AATAAATGACCTTTATATTATGGAACTATTTAAATTATTTAACTGATTGTAAGAAACAAAATGTTTTTGTAGATTAATACTGTAAAATTATTATTTGTAGAAAACGATAAAAATATATTTTTTGCTGACAAAAACTAATATTATAAATGTCAAAGTCAATCGTCTGTCTATCTCGATTTCACGCCAAAACTACTGAACCGATGTTTTAATGAAATGGTTTACAGATAGTAATAGTTACCCTAGAATGCACATAAAACTAAATGTAATCGAAAAAACTTGTAATGTAAAAGGCCGGTGAAAGATTCAAAGAATCGTCATTTTTGACAATAAACCTATTATTTTTGAGACTGTTGATTAAATATAAATAAAAATGACATTCAATGTTTGTAAAAAGTTACCCTTAAGGGGTAAAATAAAATAGGGGATGCAAGTTTTTATGTAAACACGTCATTTTTGAAGCTAGAAGCTTAAACTTATTGTTGAGACTGTTGATTAAATATAAAAACATATGACATTCATTGTTTGTAAAAAATTGGTAAAACATTGACCCTTAAGGGGGTAAAATAAAATAGGGGATGCAAGTTTGTTATGTAAACACGTCATTTTTGATATAAATACTTGAATTTATTGTTGAGACTGTTGAAAATATCCATTCCTTACTATTTATAAATGGGTAAGTCTGTCTGTCTGTCTGTCTGTCTGTCTCGCTTTCGCGCCAAAACTATTGAACCGATTTAATATATTTAGTACGAAAATATCATGACGCAGAGGAAGAATATAGACTACTTTTTAATGCAAAAGGGTTGTAGTGATTGCAAAATGGAATAAAAGGTTATCTTTATGCGGTTGAATACTTATTCGTATCTTTTCATTTCACTATCTAACAACCAATCAACACTTCGTTTTATGCGCATTCGCCATTTTTCATTTCACTAGCTAACAACCAATGGACACTTCGCGTGCGTTTGCGCAATTAGGTCACAAAGAACAAAACCACAGATAACATAGTGTAAAACGAAAGATCTTGCCGGAAACATGACGTTGACGTTTAGCGAAAATATTGTTTTTGACACTTTTTTATGATAAAATCGTATATGAGTGTGTATGTGTTTTTCTTTAAACTTGAAATTGTCCGATTGCGAGACAAATTTGGCCATTTTTTTTATTAATTATTTATATAAATACAAGTCCTATTTAAAAGCTCAACACAAAGTTTTACAATATAAATTACAAAAATTAAAGTCAATGTCAAATGTCAAATAATAATAAATGTCAAAATGTTGTTTCTCTGTTCTGACGAACTTATTAAAAAAAAGATAACAATCACAATTTCTTCACATTCTATTATTTACATTTTTTAAAGAATGTTGTGGTGTGGCATATACGAAATTAAATTATTTACCCATTTTTTAGGTTATGAGAAATAATGTGTGAAATTTAAATATTAACACAAAGTTCATAATTTATAGGTATTAATAAATATATGGTTGTTGTATCAAAATAGTCTTTTCTTATTTTTCACTAAAATAAAAACAACTGTCTTTTTTTCAAATAAATATTTCATTGTGTCATATATTATGAAACTATTTAAATTATATTAGCTGATTGTAAGCAAAAATGTTGGTTTTTACAAACACTGTAAAATTACTATTTGTACGGAAACGATAAAAATATATTTTTGTGCTGCGACAAAAACTATTATTAAGCTTTCACGCCAAAACTACTGAACCGATTTGAATGAAATTTGGTATACAGTTAGTCTAGACCCTGAGAACACATAGGCTACTTTTTAATGCGAAAAAAATTCCGGTTGTAAGGCCTAGTTACCATACCAATGAAAGATTGTATAAAGAATCGTCATTTTTGAAGCTAAAGCTTGAAACTTATTTTTGATAGGCTGTTGATTAAATATATAATAAAAATGACATTCAATGTTTGTAAAAAATTATATCTTAAGAGGGTAATAACATAAACCGTAGGGGATGTCAATTTTTATGGTAATTGATATTTTTGAACGCTAGAAGCTTGAAACTTATTGTTGAGACTGTTGATTAAATATAAATACATATTTCATTGTTTGTAAAAAATACCCTTAAGGGGGTAAAATAAATATATAAGTTCTTATGTGTAACGGACGTCATTTTTGAAGCAGACTGAAACTGATTGTTGAGACTGTTGATTAAATATAAACTAAAAATGACATTCAATGTTTGAAAAAATTACCCTTAAGGGGGTAAAATAAAATAGGGGATGCAAGATTTGATGTAAAATCGTCATTTTTTAAGTATATACTTTTAACTTATTTTTTTAAAGCTGTTGATTAAATATAAATAAATATGACATTCATTGTTTGTAAAAAAATTACCCTTAAGGGGGCAAAATAAAATAGGGGATGATAGTTATTATGTAAATTCGTAATTTTTGAAACTAGAACGATGAACCTATTTTCATTGGTTCTTTTGGGATAGATTTTTAAATACCCCACTAATGTTATAACTGTGAAAGTAAGTCTGTTTTTTCTGTCAGTCTTACGCTCCAAAACAAAACAAAAATTTAAATGAAATTTAAAAAAATTTAAACACAGTTAGTTTACACCGACAAAGAATATATAGAAAATCTTTGAATTGAAAAAATTGTAAACGGGTTGCAATGGTACGAGTATGGAAGAATCGTCATTTTTTTAAAACTAGAAGTTTGAAACTCATTTTTAGACATTCAATGTTTGTAAAATTTTTACTCTTAGGGGGAGGGGGGGTAGTAAAATAAAATAGGGAATGAAAGTTATTGTGGAAATTTGCTGTTTGTGTGGTTGTGGAAGCTAGAACGATTAAACTTTTTTCTTTGTCTTTTTAGAGTTAGTTTATTAAATAACCTATAGGCTACTGATATTATACATGTGAAAGTAACTTTGTCTGTCTGTTTGTCTCGCTTACACGCCAAAAATATTGAACCGATTTAAATTGAAATTTGAAACAGACATAGATAGACTAGATCCTGAGAAAGGTAATAGGTTACTTTTTATATGTGAAAAAGGGTTGCAAGAGGATTGAAATTCGTAGATCCAAGGTCATATAGATATATCGTAAGGCGTCATGTTTAAATTTAGAAGCTTGAAATTTATTTTTTAGTCTATTGATTAAATATTTATTTTTATTTTTTTATCATTTTTTAAGCTAAAATGATGAAACTTATTTATTTGACTTATATTGTGTTAATTGAGTTAAATATTTTTCATTATTTACGCGGACGAAGTCGCGATACAGCTAGTATAAATATATATATCATCTAATATATAAAATGCTCGTATCATAGAGTTTGTAACAAAGGTCCCCTAGAATGGCTGAAACGATTCTTATGAATTTATTTTGTATATATTCAGCAAGTCTGGTAATATATGTTTTTATTACCATCAACCCGTATGTTTATTAACGATTTTTATTCACGGCGGTTGATAACTGACAAATAAAAATGTTTACCGTCCAAAGAAGTGGGCACGGGTCAGCCAGTACACATATATATTTATTTCTTATTTAGACCTGATGTTTAGTACTAAATAAATCTAGAGGCACAGTACAACCAGTAGACATTTTTTTTCATGTTTAACGCCCTGATATTTAGTACTAGTATAACTAAACCAGAGACGAATTGTGGAATGGTAGAAACAACTCTTGCGTACTGAGACATCATCTATCCGTGCATTGTATTTCTTCTTATCTGTGATTTGTCTTGTGATTCCCATTGTTGTTCTCACAGTTGAAATACGTGAGGTGACACAGGCGACTAGGTACAAACTCTACATCGGTGACAAGCCATATGGTTTAAATGATGTGACGGCCTCGGTGGTCTAGCGGTTTAACAGACCGCCTTACTTTCGAAGGTCGCCGGTTCGAATCCACGCACGACACAAACATCCATGAGCATGATTGTTTATGTCGATCTGGGTGTTTGCTATATATAATATGTATGTTAAAAAAATATTATTACTATTCAAAAGGGCTTAAATTAAGTTTATTTGAATAAAGGATTTTCTATTCTATTATACGAAAAAAAAACAATCTATTTGTATCAGTTGTATAGTACCCGTAATACACGCTTTAGCTAGCTTAACCAGGGTATAGATGGCGCTGTGTGAATTGTCCTGAGATTATTATTATTACTAATGAAAGAGCAGGGGAAACTGCATTGCATAACTAGTGGTTATACATATAACTTAATTAATATAATTAAGTTATATGTATAACCATTAGTTATTCACAAAGAACCTAAAATTAAAAACCTTAAAAAATATAATATAACTAAAATATATTATTAAAATAAGTCCCATAAGGCATATAATAATATATCTTCAAGTTTATTATCCGGTCAGATATATTGTTAATTGGCAACATAGTGAAATACAAGATCACAACAAATAATAATAACTCTGGACATTGAGCGTCATATAGTTCTAAGCTACACTGAGGTTTATTATAGGTACTAATCAACTGATATATATATTTGTTCGTATATATTTAGAAAAAATGTAATACAAAGGACAGGAGGTAAGAGACTAATGTGGACTAATAACCCCATTGCTAACTATGTTCCATGTTAGCTTGATTATTGACCATCGTGACAAATTCCTGTTGAATTTACCGTGATGGGCTAACTGACCTGAACTAACTGACTCATCAACTCAAATCTTATCATCCTCCACTGGTGCCCCCTCAGCGTAAACCATTAACGTAGGCGGGTGCACCATTCCATTATCATCCATTACAGAAGTCGGTACAAACAATCATATTTAAAATACATAAATGAATTGTATATATATTTGAATGTGTATTATGAATATTGTTGTTTTTTGTATTGTTTTTGAGGTGCAATAAAGAGTTATAAATAAAATAAAATAAATGTTTATATAGTACGAGATTTGAATCTGCGATTTTCATTGCGAATAAAGCGAAGTTCTAAATAACTAGATCACGTACTCCGTCAATCATGAAAAAATATCTTTTCAGATGTCAAGCGTGTCTGGGTTCCTGTAAGGAGGACGTGTCTAGCAAACGTGGATAAGTTAGCACATATGAAGCGCAAGCTATGTGTGGCGCCTGGTTTTACGTGTGACGACGACATGGAGGAGCTCAATGTGGTAAGTGGCATATACCATCATCTGCTTCTTCCTTATCGCAGTTATTTGAGATCGGCGTAATATGATTTTATCTTCCATTCATCCCTGTTCATCTCATTATGTACTCATAATAATATTGCTATCGCGCTTTCACGCCAAAATAACTGAACAGATTTAAATGAAATTTGGTACAAAAATAGTCTAGAGGTGATGAGAAATATCTTTTTAATACGAAAAAAGACTTGTAAGTTGATGAAATCGGAGATATAAGGTTAGGTGGAAGTATCGTCATTATTAAAACTCTTGATTAAATTTAAATAAATAAGATATACAAAGTTTGAAAAAAATTACCCCTAAGGTGGTAAAATAAAACGGGATGAAAGTTTGTATGAAAATTCGTCATTCGTCGTATATTCCACACGGTCGAAGTCGCGGGCATAGCTAGTACGTATATATTGGAGACATCGCTCGCGATTATACAATATGCCAACAAACCACACCAATGCCAAACATGCGTACCAAATATTTAACGTTGCTGAAACCAATATTGGAGTTAGCAGGTATTGTTTATGACAAAGTAAATTATAACTTTGCGTTATACTTGCCTTTTAATTATTTTTTTTTATACTAAAATGATGGCATACTAACTAGGGCCCATGGTAAACGGTAACCATAGCCTATAGATGCCTGACACACCTGGAGTGTTTGTGTATCTGGCGAGGTTTAATCTCGAGAGACTACAGCATGGGGTTTTTAAAGAAAGTATTTATATTATTTGGTTTGAGTCGGAAACGCGCACAGACATTCCTGATGTTTCAAGTATCTATAGGCTACAGTAACCAATTACCATCAGATGGGCCGTAGCTTGTTTGCTACCGTCGTATTATATACGTTATACACATCTTATATGTTATCTACTTGCTCAATAATTAAAACCGTTTCCTTAAGATTCCCTTAAAAAGTTGTTTCAACAATAAGACCGCCTTATTGTAATCATATATTCGTAACTAAATATATTCTTGAATATATATTGCAAATAAGGTATAGATAGAATATCTTGCTAAGAATCTACCTCAGGGAATATAATTCTGTAGTCTCTCGAGAAAACCTCGGCAGGTAGTTCAGTCCACAATCTAAGTGTACGCGGGAGGAAGACCTCTGACACCGCACTATCCGAGACCACTTATGTTCCAACGTGAGGGATTAATTCCCTATAAAACTGTATGTACTTTTGTAAGAAAAAATACAATTATATATTAATACTAACTGACTACTGCAACTTCGTGTCAAGAAAAAAAAGAGAGACAGTGCTGCAAAAACGAATACATTTTGCAGTTTGTGCAACATATTTCATAAATGCCCTGTTCCTACTGGCTGTAAAATAATGTTATGTAGCTTTTCTCGGCAAATTGATTATCCAGGGCTATAAGATTTTTTCAATTCAGATTCAAATCAGAAGAAAGAGTTTCTTATTAACAAGTTCAATCATACAAACTCTTAAACTTTGTAATATAAACGAGTATGTACAGTAAAAATAAGTGTATATATGTTTATCCGGGAATATATATTCTGTATTCTCTCGAGTAATACCTCAAGCAATGGTGAATTAGACAGGACCATAATCATAGAATTAACGCAGGATGGATGAAGTGGCTGACACCGTTACGGCAACGACGTGTGATGTTCCAACTTAAGGGAAAAATTTACTAAAAACTGTAATCCGGCCTGCTTCTTGTATGGATACAATTATATATTAATACGAATGAACGACGACTGCATGCAACTGAAATGAAAATGTTGAGAGACAGTGTGGTGTGAAAGAATGGATTTTGCAGAATGTACAACATATTATAAATGGCACTGGTGTCAGAGAGGCTTAAAATAATGTTATCATGGTATGACATGTAAATTGATTATCCGAGGATAATTTTTTCAATTCATATTGTGGAATATCAGAAAAAGAGATGGATGGACTGTGTGAAAGATCATACAAGAAACTTTTAAATAACGCGATGACAGTAAAAATAAGTGTATATATGTTTATCCGGGACATATATACACTTATTTTTACTGTGTACATATGCGTCAAGATGTTTATTCGGTATAAACTCCGAATCTGCATTTATCTTACTGTATATTTGTATTGTAATTTGGTTCACCTTTAAAGATAGAATATGTATTTATCTATCTTTAAAGTTAGACCAAATTACAATACATATTATGCATTTTCCTCAATATTAGAACTACTGAACCACGTCAACACTTATATATCACATACAACCTTTTACTAAAATTATAGAGTTCTTGTACATCAACTTTATAGTCGACCATTATTAGTATAGCCACAAGAACTAAATTCGAGCCAATTAATTCCTTATCCGCTCTGAGAGCTCCATTTTAAGATAATGGTCGGCCATAAAGAAGTTTTCTGCAATCCAATTTTATAAGTACTTATAATGAACTTTGTCTATGTGAGAAGAATGGTTATATTCCTTTATTTCGAGTGATTACTTTTATTAGTAGTATATCTTTTATATCTGGCCTTAAATTTGTTGTTCACTCGGCTTCTTGAAGAAAAATATTTTTATTTCAATAGTAGTTACTCTTTTGTGTTACACGATATTTTTGTCAACAATCTCCAGATATCCGAGTCGGGATCAAATCGAAATTGCGTCGAGTCGACAGGACTTGTATTTCTCTTTTTACTGCATTATCGGATATTTTTACATAATACATATACCTTATTTGCATTTTCAATTTTTCATTTACAGTTGATTTAATTTACCTGAATTAGTATTTTTTTATTATATTTTATATATTTTGATTTAATTTCCATTATTTCATAAGTCAGCCTGCTTACTAATTACTTTGGCAACAGATAGCACTACATTAAATTCAATTTATCGCTCAACATCATAAATTGAATAGAGGGAATGTGAGATATGTAAGTGTATACTGTGACTCTATTACTAGCAATGTACAAGATTAGGTCGACCTTCACATGGTTCCGCCTGTAAAACACCGTGGTTAATTTCTGGTAATTTAATCACAATAAGCAAACTAACCTAACCTCATGCTCATATTATTTTCCTCCACTAGTGCCCCGCCGGTTTATACCGTTAGCATAGGCAGATGCACCAATCCATTACCATCCATTAAAAAGACGCAGGGAATGTTTTATTAATTTATTCCCGAAGAAGTAAAAATGTATATTAATTTAGATAGATCCACAAAGTTTTTGCTATTAATAGATATAACAGCGGTAATAATGACTTGTTCTTATCACGACGTCATAATTACGAATATATAATTAGACACGTACTTACTCTAAAAGCAAATTAACAAAGTAAATATCCATCTAATGAACCTTCTTGTTTACTTTGTAATTCGAGATTCAGGGGTGCACATGATATTTCTATAAGAATTTAATTAATTAATTTTAAATAATAATTTTACTTCGTCAAACGTAAATAAAAAAGAAGAAATATTGAATAAACTTTAATTATTATTATTAGTTAAATTTCTATAAACTATTAGTTAAATATTAACATGTAAATACATATAAAACATTTTCAGTAAGTTATTCTTTCGCAATTTCAGCACCTGAACTTACTGGTTCCACTCTCTTAACTTTGATAGGAGAGAATAACTGTGGTTCCCTACCTTCCTCTGCAATTCTCATCCTATGCATGGAAATGTAGTCTTCATTAGCATTCAGAGCTTGCCTTCTCTCTTTACCTTCTGCCAGTGTCCCCTCCCAAGAGAACTTTACTTTATAAGGATTATCCCTTACAGTATTGAGAGCAGTAGTCTTTAAATATTCATAATCTTGTAAATATTCTTTCTTAAGTCCTTCTTTATCATCAGATAAAAGGCTTTTCTGTACTTTTTCCTGTTTTTTAATTGCTTCTGGGAATAAAATAGCAACAGTGTCATTAAAAATAGTATTCTGATTTTTCATAATTTCAAGCATTCTTCTTTCTTTCTCTAAACGCTGACTTTCCAATTCTCTTAATGGCTTTTCATGTTCAATCAGCTCTGCTCTATTAATTCTTTTTTTCACAGCGATAGTCCTTTCTATTAACTTTTGTATTATTTTTTGCCATCTTTCTTCTGGACCAACTACTCTCAGTTTTTGTTGCCGTCTTGCTTCTGCTTCCTCTTCCAATCTCTTTTCTTCTTCTTCTCTCTGTTTCCGTCTTTGTTCTTCTTTCTCGGCTAATAAAGCTCCTTCTTTTCGCTTTATCTCTAATAATATATGCGGATTATTTTTCATCCACTCCTCTTGCCATGATATAAATGACTGCATCACTTTCAGTTCTCTTAAAATCATACCATCCATTCGACCAATATATAATGAATTCTCAATCATAAATATTGGTGGATCTAAAAACATTCTAAACGAACCATTAATGTCACTAACACCAATAATATTTTTGACTAATGGCAATGTATGGAGACTAACTCCGGTAAGCATCGTACCAGAAAGGGTTTGTATTGATATTGGTTTATCACTCCTGAGTAACAAATCCCATGTCTCAAGATCACCTTCTGACGTAGCCACAAACAATAAACTAGGTTTATACAATGACCAAGCTCCATCTGTAAGACGATATGGTCGTTTCTTCCATATTAATGGTCTATCTAGTAATTTATCAGACCAAATTGCAAATATTTTTCCACCAACTGTCAATGTCAAGTGATTTATAAAGGGATTTCTTTGTGTACATGATATAATACCATCATGTATACAGCATCTAAATTTAATTTCACAATATTCAGAATTAACTACTTCTCCAGTATTGAATTCGTGACCCTCCCACGTAATACGCCTTAACTCACCGTGCTGAGAACCACAATATAAAATCGTGGATATCTCATCCTCACTTTGTGAAACAATTTCGCAATTAAAATATTTCCGCCCACTGCCTGTATTTCTTGGTATGTAAATATATTTAATAAGAGGGGCATTCATTGCAAAAGTTTGCAAACTCAAAATCTGTGGCTGACCAGCAATCCCTAAAATTATTTTATAAGTTGGTTGCAAATTACGATCTAATACTTTATATGGTGAAACATCTACTAATAAACCGGAAGGTCTTTTTAATACTCTTTTGGATTTCTTAACTTTCTTACCATCAAATAACACAACGTTCTCTACAGATAAATTCCATATTAGAATATTTCCGTCTTCTGAACCAGTCAAAAACATCATAGACTTCTTCTGATCGTTCATTATATTGGCTTTACCAGTAGGAGTAATCATAAAATTTGGCGATAGCCAATTAATAGCTGTCACAGGCCCATAGTGACTTGTCATTAAATTACTTAATGCGGTTGCTTGTACTACAGCATTATCTTGCACAGATTTCATCCAACCCATATGTGCATTCATGGCAATATGATATTTTTCTCTTGTTTCACTTAAAATTTCAACCTTCTCTACATTTTCTAATTTATTAGTCAGATCCCAAATTACAATTTGTCCATTTATACATCCACCAATTAAAATATTTTCATCAAATGGGCAAAATGAAAGTACTTTAACCTCTCGTGGTGACTCTAAATATAGTTTTGGAATCAAACTATCAATATGACTCCAAATCATAACTGGATTTAAACCATACACAGCTCTTTGAATTGGGTCAGGCCGGGTACTAGGAGTTTTCATAACTGAAGGTGATCCATCTGAATAACATATAGCTACAATACCCGACCACATCGGATGAAAAACTGCAGATGATATATATTTATCTTTGGCTCTTACATCAGTGAAACATACATATTCTTCAAATGTCATCGAGTCATAGATGTCTATAGTTTTTTCAACTACTAAATTAGGATAATCGTTACAATACATATCCATTACTGTATTCAATTCTACAATTGAATCCATTTCATTTTTTTTTGTAGTCAAGAAATTATTAATCGTTTTTATATACGACGCTCTACGCATGCATTTCAAAGCAGTTCTATAAGCAGCTAATCCGACTTCATCAGGAAGTTCTTTATCTTCTTCTTCGTCGTCATCAGAACTCTTATCTTCTATGTGTTCTTGTTCAGCTGCTCCTCCTATGCTAGTATCACCTCCAGCTTCAATATCACCAACTTTTCCAAGAGCATCGGCAATTGACTGAGTCCACATATTTTGAGGATATCTAAGTTCAGTTTGAGCTGATCTATGACATTTGGATGGCGCTGCTTGGGATCCACAATCAACTCTACTTCTATAAACATTATTAAATCTCTGTCTGTAAGGAGTCAATTCGATATAACCATCACGAGCTCCATCTGAGTCTCTAATTTTAAATGAAACGGGCTGATAATCTTTCGGAAATTTTGCTTTTATTTCCATTTCCATTAATGGTCTTGTATTGACAGGTAGTAGTTCTAATATTTCGACTTCACTTCCTAAACTTTTCCATGGTCTTGGTTTCTTTTGAACAGCTTTCTCCAGTTTTTTCTCTTGCCTCTTAATAAATCTGTCAGACTGTTGTTTACAATGATCTCTTGCTTCTGTTGTACAGCAAACATAAAATTCATCAACATCATTGGATTCATCGGCAATATATCCCATAAGAATAAATTCATCAGTATAAGCTTCAATTTGCTCTTTTATAGGAAACAATTCTGAGAGTTCTCCACCTACATCTATAGACTCTATTATTTTAGCTTTACTTACAAGGTTCCAGGGGTATTGAGCGTTGATATGTGTACCAATAACCATTTCTATTTGTATTTGTGTTTCCTCTTCTAATACTACTTTATAGACACCCTCTACTTCATATTTTGGTATAAATCTCTTTCTTCGAGGTTGCGGTTGGGGTGATGTCATTTTAGACTTTACTGACTGAACTGTAATAAAATATTATTATTTGTAAACGAAATGATAGCCAAGTCTTATTTACGTTCATTGAGTCTGTCAAAATTTGACATAATCTGGTATTACTTTTTTCTCATGAATATTGAAATGTAATAAAATCTCTTTAATTTGTAATCAAAACAGTACTGAACTAGCTAACTTCTGCTCTGCTTTAGCTATGTGTGTATTTTTACTGCATTGTTATGCATAATTATGTATATCCTTTGTAATGTGACAATAAATAACAAAACATATTTTTAGTATTAATTGTCTATAATATATAATTAATACTAAAATCATTTATAATAGTAACTAATTCTTAACGTAAAGATATATCTTCATAAAAAATATACAGTTTAGGTATCTGTTTGTCTGTTTGTTAACAAAACACTTTATTTTTACGTTTTAACGTTATTTTTTATATTAATTATATTATACAAACCAAGACCGAGTAAAGACGTGGCTTTCGCCTCTTCTGATGGCGTACTCTCGTCCTGTATAGGTTCTTCATCATAACTAGATTCCGAGGAATCACTTTTCTCCACAACTTGAACATCTTTATTATCTTCTTTGTCACTTTCGGAATCAGACATTATGTGTATTTATAAATAAAAATATGGATAGTAACTCGTTGATTATGACAACCTGAAATACAATAATAATATTGACCCAGGACAATTCACACCGCGCCATCTAGTGCCAAACTAAACAGAGCTTGTGTTCTGGGTAACTGATATAAATGAAGAATCGAACCCGCGACCATCTATACATATAAATAAAATTGGAGTGTCTGTTTGTAATATTCAAATAACAGTTTTTTATTAGCTAAACTCTGAAATGGCTGGACCGATTTTGACGGATTTTTTTTTGGCAGGTAGCTGATGTAATAAGGAGTATCTTAGGCTACTTTTATTTTAGAAAAATAAAGTTAAATTCCACGCGGACGAAGTCGCGAGTTCAGCCAGACTGAAATAAAATGGTGTGAAAACTGCTAGATCACCAAAATCAAATAAGCATTATATGGGACAGCATCTGAATTACGACCCAAGAGGTCGTGTGTTCATATCTGGTCGGTCCGGTCTATTTAATAAGAACATGCCACAGACAGATTCACACATATGTATATACAAAATAAGCGGCTACGATAACTTATTCTCTCCTTTACGGATATAATCAAATAAAATATCCCTTTGAAATAGCCAGCAACAAAAATACGTACCAAATCCGAGTCTAAAACATTTCATGTTCTATTTTAAAACAAAATATTATTCATAGTATTTAAATATACATACTTTATACACATATATCCGGCTATTTGGAATGGTTAATCACTGCTAACATATTGTATACATATAATTTACGTTTGTTTTCATTACAAACAGTTGGTTGCTCAGGTAAACTTACGCATGCGTAAAATTCGGCGGTACGGGCATGTACGAGGTACGGTAATGAAGAACCGTAGTGCAATAAATATAGTTTAATGTGACCATCCCTATATATAATATTAAATATAGTTTATGGAAACTAATATTATAAAAAGAAATATTTGATTTTTTGTTTGTTATACAATTACACAAAATATACTTAATCGATTTTTTCATTGCCTGCTTTTCACAAGGCATTTTTTTATTAGGGGGTTTGGGATATTGTCAGGTGCTTGGACCTGTAGCACTGCGACCTACAAAGATCTATTGTGCTCGCCCTTTTTCAAGTTCGCTACCTAGGCCCGTCAGTGACAAGAATTGAAAAATATTCTTAGGCCGGTATGGTTTTTACATCCTCGGATATAGTGTATAATTTCCAAAGGAGATATTTCGCTTATCCATGAGTGGGCTACAACCACATAGAATATGGCACTATACATCCTTTGTTGCAGATTTTTGTTGTGCACATACCTAGGTTTGCCATTCAATTTGCAGTGTCCAGTGAGGGCCCTAGTTATTATGAAGAGACAACTACCAGCTATATAAATGGAAATCACGTTATTATTTGACACACGAGGTGCCACTCTATTGTGACGTACATATGAATGATATAACGGATGGCTGGATGCCCATTGTAATAAATTCCTGGTGAATTTGTCACGATGGGCGAACTGACTACCAGCATAAACCGTTAGTAAATATTATATATCCCCTTTCTCTTTTATAGTATTCGAAATAATTGAATTAAAAAAAGTATTAGTTATGTGAAATTTCTCAGCGACATCATGTATAATGGTAAAACTTCAAAATTGCACGTATATAGATATAGATTTAGATATAGTAACTGAAATAATATGATTAGAAAGAAGTAGTGAATAGGGCATAATTAGAATTATAGATTTTTTCTCTTTTAAGCTACTTCAAATATAGTATATTTAAGTGACTTATGGCACTCTTTATTGTAGTATTTTTTACCATAAAGAGTGCCATAAGTAACTTTAATCCACCCTGCAAATACATGGTTTTTGGTCATAGTCACGGGTCTACTACACGATTTTTAATCAACCATAAAAACGTTAAAATAGTTTCTAGTTTGGAAACACTGTACACATTTATTTTAGAAGTCTATATAATACACACTAAATATTAGACAAATAACACAAAACGTGTCCATGTGTAATTTAAAAGGCATTAACTTAAGTGGCTTTTCTATAAATTGGCTAACCTAATGTCTGTTTCAAGCATACGCTCGTAAAATATCGTATCCCTTTGGAGACCCGAATGAAATTTATTGGCCCTGGTGTTTATTTGTAAGGCATTATATATACAGCATCGACAACGGCTAACGTGAAACTCAACGATTTTTTTACCATAAAATAATATTTGAGTTTCCTGAGAAAGGAGTACTCATATAAATCATATATGTGGAGATATAGATTTCATTATGAAAGAAATGTACTTGTACATTATTTTTTGTAACAAATTTGACCGTCTAGCGGTTTAGAATATTGCCTTATTTTCAGTGATCACGGATTCGATTCCTTGCAATGCAAAGATTTATACTCATAAGCACTATTGTTTGTATTTATCTGTGTGTTTTCCATTCATATTATATATGTATTTACATGAAAAATGACAAATAGTAGAAATACTTAAATGTATTTCTATTACTTTTGTAGTAACGCAAGCTCTGCTTAGTTTTAGACTACCTGTGCTCGGGGTTTCACCCGTATGAAATTTATAGCCCATGTATTATTCTGGCGTATAAGTTATATTACTGTAAACTTTAGTCAATATCTGTTCAGTAGTTTTTGCGTGAAAGAATAACAAACGTCCATCTATGCATCCGTACTCACAAACTTACGCGTTTATAGTATTTATTATTATTACATTATATTGTAACAGCGACCTCTGGGTTATCTCGTGACCACTAGAACAACCTAGTCGAAAAGACATATAAATGTAAGATAAATAAGTACTATATTTAGCAAAAATATTAGTGTAAGCCCCGACTAAGTGCTGGCTTAGTCGTAAAGTGTGCAGTAAGCCAAAACCCAACTAGAACAGTCGTGTAACTGAAACACTTAGATCAAATGGAATTCTTGTGAAATTCAGCAATGTGGAATTGTGTATATATGTACATTTTGTACTTTGTATGCTAAATTGATCACTTGGTCGCCGTATTTTTATTTTTTTTCTTCCTGAAGAAATTTCTTTCACTTGCCGCAGTGTTTTTATCGACTAGGCTTATTACTTTTTTTACTTCATGGGAAAATTTCTTCAATTTTATTAACAAAATCACTGCCGTTTTCACTTGGTACAGTCGATTGTCACTATTATTTTCTTGTATTGGAAAATTAGTGCTACCATTATTTTTTCTTATTTGTCATTAGTTTTTTTTTGTTCATATTAGAGAATGTGTAAAAGTATTCTCTTTATGAGACTAAATGTATTTCTTTTTATCAGCATTATCTATAGAAATAGATAAATTTATCAACATCTGCTTCTTCCTTATGTTGTCGTAACATGTTTTTCTCTTCCATTCATTCCTATTGGTAGACATCTTGTTATTCACTCCTTTTCTTGTCATACTATCTTTCACAGAGTCCACCTATCTGTTTTTCGGCCTTCCTCTGCCCTTATAACCAATATAATAAAAAAAAATATACGGAAGAAAAACTAAAATTCGATTCAAATTCAAAAATCTTGTATTCATGTAGGACATTTTGGTCGCTTATGACATTTTACCATCCAGTCCAGTATATAGATCCAATTGAGAAGAACTGGCAAGAAACTCAATTACTTTTTTTTTAAAAAGCCAGTTTATTTACACTGTATAGGTGTCTATGCCTAACAATTAAATGAAAATCCCGTGTATGAACAACTATTGCCAATTATAAAATATTTATTCAAGTAATCGTTTAGTGAATACAACAGTGTAGTAACAAAAACTAAATATATGTGTGTTACTAATTAACGAGCAGTTACCAAACTTGTACATAATTATGTTTTGTTTTAGGCAGCTCTATCCAGGCGGAAGGAGTCCGCGGCCCCGCTGACGGGGGAGCGAGACGGGACTATATTTCGCCACGCTCTTAATTACCCACTTGCATTGGTGTTGAGGCTTAGAGTATTACAAGTAAGTTTCTTTTATAACAAATTTATATATACATTATATTATGATAGGCCTCGGTGGTCTAGCGATTTAGCACAACGGTTTACTTTCGATAGTCGCGGGTTCGATTCCTCGCACGGTGCAAACTTTTGTACTTCGATCAGGTTTTCTATGTATATTATGCATACATAATATACATAGAAAACACCCAGACCGATACAAACAATCATAATCATAAATACAAATTTTCAATTCCGATAATCAAACCCTTGACTATCGGAAGTAAACCGTTGTAAAGACTTAAATATATATTTTTAAATAACATACATTTACCAACAAATTATCTAAGTATTTATATCAGTTGTCTAGTACCCATAATGCAAGCTCTGCTTACCGTAGGACTAGATGGCGCTGTGTTAATTGTCCAAAGCAAAAGAAAGTATTGATGAATGTTTGCTACTATTCCACGAAAAAACTATTGAATGAATTTTGATGAAACTTTACAGTAATGTAGCTTATATATCAGAATAACACATAGGTTATTATTAAAAATCTATTATGTAAATTTGGCGAAATATGATAAATATTAAGTAAGTGTAACGCAGACGAAGTTGCGTGAGTAGGCTAGTATCCCATATATATCAATCTCAGATATTATTGTATTCCAGATCTGGCTGATAATATTAGTTATCACAAAATACTATGTGACGCCCGTGATTCTTATTATCCATTAATCAAGTCCTTCTCCTAGCTTTTCCCTCCAGTTTGTTATTTATGTCTGTAACTAATTATGTTTAAAACATATACTTAATATGTACGAAAATTTAATAACTAAGGTTATTAAATTTTAGAGATATAGTAAATGCAAATGTCGCGAAAAGCGAAATCGTAGTAAGCTACGATTTTCCGGAAGTCCTTATAATCTAGGAGATGTGACGTATGGCAAACACGTTACAACGTCTCTCCTCGCATAGTCAATTGTTGCTATAGACGAAAATATATTAAAAATATTATATTTCCATGCATAGTTATAAATTATTTAACTTTACGACTGTTGGCGTTAGACCTCTTTTTATATTTCTTTTCTTATTTTGAATCATGTTTTTTATATAAAATTTTTGAATTTTTTTTTTATTCTATAGTTGTGCCAAATATACTAACATATAATGCAAAATATTGGTGAGATAATTATTTATTTTTATATAAAAAATATATGAACATAACATACCTATCTCCTATATCCTTCCGCAATAATGTACCTTTCAAACAGTGCAAGAATTTCACAAATCGTTGCAATAGAGTTTCACTGTCTTCTTTCATAATGCTCATATAGATTTGTTTAAAAGAAACTTAGCACTGGAAAACGAACTCAACGTAATTATTCGAGACAACGAGTACAACGTAATTAAAGGGGAATACTCACTAGTTTAGACGTCGAAATAAGTTACAACAAAACAACGTCTAAGCGAAGTTACGCTAAAGTTGTTGAACTGTGCTTGTGAGTTACGAAGTGTAGAAACAATGAAAGGAATTTTAGTATAAAAGCCTCTCATGACCTAAATGACAATAATAGGACTTTGAAAACAGAATTAAATAGTACTAAGATAGAAATTAATTTATCAAAGTTCACTTTGTACAAAGTCGTTCGCATATATACCTCTGCCTCACCTACTTTAGTACCAAAGCATGGTGGGTAATGCGGAAAATATAGAGAATTAGGATTTCACCATCATGCGGTAGGGCGCAATCGCTGCTCTAGAAATATAATGTTATTTTGCTGCCTGATTAACATCCAGGGCTTGTTATCTGTAATATCATAGGCTCTTATTCCTTGAAGACCTTCCGACGAATGTCACAAAGATATATTGCACAAACAGCAAAAAAATATCCAAGTTCGAGAGTAACATATTAGCAGCGTGCACGGCGCTGCAGTTGATCGCACAAAGAGGTTTTTTCTTTTTTGAAGTGACTGGATGCACAATTGCCCTCGCGTTAATGAGAAATAGACGCCATTTTATATGTACTCACTCGCAAAGCATAGGCTCAATACAATTGTGCATCCAATATTGCAACACCTAATGTACATTTACATGTTCAGTAATATAGTATATAACATACAATGTAGTTTTTGTGAATACATACAGACTATATACAAATTAATCTATACTTTCTGCTACTTAATTGGGACTGGATAGTGAGGGCGTCATTGGTGCTTTGTTTAGCAAGTTAGTCTGCCGCGAGTTACTGCTAGCAGCTGGGATATTCGTCGCTGCTTACGATAGTTATCTGGTGCTGTAAAACCCTATAAACCCGAAAATTGCTCATTTTACTTTGAAGAACTTTAAAGAGAGAGAGAATGTACGAGAACAAAAACCATTTCCCCGTGTATTCGTACATTCTTTCTTGTCACATACATTTTTAAAGTGCTTGAAAGTAAAATGAGCTATTCTCTGGTATTTAGTGGTATATATATATATATATACCACTAAATACCAGAAGCCCTAAAATAAAAATATATTATTAGTATTAATAAACATAAAAAAGACGTTACCGAAAAAAGTCTACTAATTTCCATTATTACAAGTATATTTCTGTAGAAGTCTTAAAAGACAACCAGTATATGGTTATCTTTCTTGAAATATTTGATATGTCCATATATTTCAAGAAAGACATCCTCTAGATACGGGTTACGTTTAACCACTACATGTATTTTCCAGTCTAACGAGCCGTAAACGTCTTCCGCGCGTTTAACTTTGATATGAAGTATCGATCAACTATTACATTTTATTTTTGAACCGCTAGTCGTGGCGAGCGAAATAGTATCATGTATAAAAATTACAAATTCTTACATCCTATTTTTTTCTTTCTTCTTATAAACTTAAAGTCCATCACTATTTAATAGTCATACTTATTTTTTAAATTGACCACTAATTCGAAATACTGTCTCATTACGAAAAGAACAAGCGATAAATTAATCTATGTACATTGCAATCATTTACAAAGAGACAGATGAAAAGGTCTACGTTTCCACAATTTAGCCATAGAGTAACTGCTACAGTTATTCTGTGTAGTATAGGCATTTAATATAATGTGATTCTCGGTGGACTGTAAAGCATTCACCAAACCACGCACCTAATGACGTTACTCTGTAGTTTGATTAATTCATTACTCTGCGAACTATTGAGCAACTGTACAGCAAACAAAGTTATACTACAAACATCGCATACGTGCGGTTGGGCCAAATTGAACTTTAAGTACCAGTAAAAGCTGATTCAGTAACAAGATTATGATTAATTTCTACATTTCTACATATATTTTATAGTATTATTTCCGTAATATATAAATGTATTATTATATAGGTTCCATAAGTTCATAATCATAGTTTAATTTATATAAAAAAACTGATAGAGCGCTCTATATCATGGGAAATAAATATCTGCAAGGACCATGCAATGTAAACAAATAAATATTAAGAACTAAAAAACGAATAAACTAAAAATAGTTATGTAGAGCAACAGGTGTAGCGAAATCTAGAGAGATCCAGAGAGATCGCTAATTGTAGAGACAATTCTCTAAAAGATATATATCAAGAATTGCAGTAAGTTCTATACTGGAACGTGTATCTAACGCTGCACCAGAAGACTCTTACCAGATTTGCAGGATGCTAGGAGATTGCAGGAGGCAAGGAGCCCCTTAAACCTATACCCGTGATACAAGTCCCGGGAACTGGTCGGAGTTTCTCTCTCTGTCACACGATGAACCCGAATCCTGCACGGTGAATCCATGGAATTCTGTAGAAAGAAGTTGGGCTAATATTGTCAAAACCATTATTTCAGATGAAGTAGTCATTCTCAACCGTCAATGTTGTGGTTAACGCAACACTTAACATATTAGAATCCGACATGTATAGAGGCGAGCCAGCAATCTTCCTTCCAATATTTTTTTATTTTATATCGATGTATCATTCACCGAAAAATCAATAAATAAAATGAAATGATTATTAAATTAACAAAATTCTATTCTATTTTTGTTAGCCAGTTTTGAATGCACGACCTGATGATAATCTATGTAGTACGATATGATGGTTTTCTAGATTTTATTAATATTATAATCGCGAAAGTTTGTGAATATGGTTAGATGTTTGTTACTCTTTCACGTAAAAACTACTGAATTAATTTTGATGAAACTTTACAGTAATATGGTTTATACATTCAAATAACATGTAGGCTATAAATTTCATGAGGGTGAAATCGCGGATACAGCTAGTTAAGTTAAATAATATTGCCGAGTTTATGTAGTGCCTAATTCTTTATTGCAATTTTTATCATGATCAAGACAGCGAAAAGTCAATCTCTGTTGAAAAAATAAATGAATCAGTTGAAAGGTTTTAGTATATATGCGAAGAAAAACTCAGATTCGCTTAGAAACTCCGCAAAAAGTAATTTATCTATTGCTAAACTCGTTATAGGAGCTGTAAAGTCGTATTTATATATGAAAAAGTTGTTTTCCATCTATAAAAAAACTTCTACTGAACAATTACTTACATGTTACACGCTTCGATAATGCCGAAAGACATTTTGAATCTAAGGTAGATTTAGATTTTTATATCAATTTAATAAACATGCTGGCAGCCCATATAATAACCGTTGCGAGAATACATGTACAGCACTACGGACATCACATTATCAAGTGACATTACTCATATGCCATTGTCTCGCTAAGGACTAAGATGTCATGCCTCTCTTCTCGTAATTCCACTACCTAATTTGCACCATACAACTGAAATACAGCTTACAAAGCCTTTTGCAGTTGCTTGGCAGTTAAAACATGTGAAAGAATGAGGTTCAGTAAATTGATTTTTTTAGAAACAAATATCTATTAAGTACATCCTATTGTAGTATATACGATTACTTGAGAGACTTAAATGTATATGGTGTTAGTTGCTCAAGCATGGTGTTCTATATTTGTTAGACATGTGGACTTTCTAAATGTTTTGGTAAAAAAACTAATTAAAAAAAGTGTAC